AGTGGGCCTCATCAAGTAATCCACAAAAAAGCGACTACAATTGTTACAATCTGCTCAACCTTTATAAATAACAATAAAATCATTAAGGGTTCTCAAGAACTAGGATTCACTTTCATCCACCTACTCAGTGTTGCATTAAAAAATATATAGAAACATTACAAAAAAAACAACAGAATTAGACTAGTCGGTGAGATTCGACTGACACCGTCGCGGAGAGTCACGTTATAGCTATGAGAATGGGGGAAACGGGCCGGCGCATTTACACTAAACTCTTCTGTCATGTAGCGGGCCGCAAAATATCGTCTTGCGGGTCACAAATGGCTCGCGGGCCGCGAGTTTGAGACCCCTATATTAGATGTTTATTTATTAATATTCACAATTATCTCATTTTTATAAAAAGAATGTAAATATTTAAACTTTCCCACATCATTTTCGATGTATGCAAAATGTATGCGGGAACGAATTTCAAAATATCTAAATATTTCATTTTCGGTTTCGGCTTCGGTTTCGGCCGAAATTCATTTTTAACTTTCGGCCTTTTTTCGGTTTCGGCCGAAATTCATTTTTAAACTTTCTGCCTTTTTTCGGTTTCGGCCGAAAGTCATTTTAAACTTTCGGCCTATTTTCGGCTTCGGCCGAAATCAGAAAATCACTTTCGGTCGGCCTCTAACGTGGGTGCCATCCTTTCTTAGCATAGAGTCACATAGAAGCCATCTTAGTATTAAAATCAAATAGGCGCCTTCTTGACATCGCGTCACATAGACACCGTCTTGACATAGAGTCACGTGGGTAAAATCTTGATATAGAGTCACAAAGACGCCATATTAGCATAGCGTCAAATAGGCGCCATCTTGACATCAAGTTACACAGACCCCATCTTGACATGGAGTCACGTGGGTATCCTCTTGACACAGAGCCATGTGGGCGCGTATGAGCAATTATACCTACCGCTATATTCTCAAGGATATAAGGCATAGGCTTTCCGTATAAGAGGTTATGATTCTTGCATCATTATTGCCGGAATCTGTTAGAGGCTTTGATTCTTCCATCAAAGACATAGCCTCGTAAATTCATTCTATTATGATATATTTTAAATCTGTTACGTGGGGTGTGACCATGTCAAGGAAGGTAATCCGGCAATTGAAATGGTTAGTAGAATGGATAAATGTGCCCCCCCCCCCAAAAAAAAAAATAAAAAAAATAAAAATAATAAAGATATTAACAGAAATTGGGCCTGGGGGGGGGGGGCGGGGGTGTATAAAAAATGCAAGCTTTTCAAATATAATTGGATATATTTGTATATTTTAAATATTTCATTCTAATTTAGCATTTATCAAAGGGCGGTGAGTGTAAACCCCACTGGATCCATGGCGGTAAAGATAATTCCCAGCCAACTAGTTCTGACTCTATACATATTTGTGAACTTTTTTTATTTTTATTTGAAAAAACACAGTTGAAGTTATCCAAATGACACAGTATTAAATATCTTGAAATTCAATCAAATCATTGCTAGAAGTGATGATACAGATTTGACCTTATTCAGCATCTACATTAAATGAAGAGAAGACTGTTGAAACTGTTGAAACCAGTGAGAGTGAGCGAGTGAGAGAGAGAGAGAGAGAGAGAGAGAGAGAGAGAGAGCATTTTTTAAAATTCGCCGTGGGGCTTTTGCTTAGCGATAACATTTTTCTGCCCGATGTATTTATGTACCAAATGAATGTTTTAGTTCTAGGAAAATACACCCATGATGTACAATGAACCTTTTAGTGTTTTTGACTGGCACTGGTCCGTGTTGTGACCAAGCAAGATTTGCCATTGGAATATTAGGCATCAAATTATTGCCATCGAAATATGTATATCCATCATCATATAAGCTCTTAGACCAGACGAAATATTTAACATTTGTGAAGACCAGCGAAAGAAAATCGTAATTCATGTGACTGATAAATACGTGTGAGTGCCATTTCTATAAATCATTTTGCAGAATCTAACTTATAGGTAAATCTGCTTATGGCAAAAAGTCAATGGCAATGCTGGGAGAATAGAAAATGGCAAAGCTATTAAGTTTCACACTCATGTTTATAAATCTTTCAACCTAAGACCGATGGCAACAAATCAATGAAATATAAAATGATAAATCACAAAATTATTAAGAAAGGTTAAAACAAATTTCTTAAAACATCAGAATTAAGTTGCATTCTTGTATTTTTAGCCACTTCGCATATTTCCAGGGCACTGGAGAAGCGTATGATATATGAAATTTTGGTAAACTAATAAAAGAAATGACAAGCCTAATCCTAAAAAGGCTATCTTATTATCTTAAATTGTGATTTAGGTTTCCATATTATATTAATATAAGAGACAAATATTTCACTAAATTGCCATCAAATAATGATTTGTATTGCACAGCTGCGTAACATGAAATAAATGTGAATAATGGAATATTTAAATGCAATCAAGCTTTCATTCTAATGCAACTTTTGAAAAGCGCTTTCAAAAGAAAGTGGTTCGCAAATTCTTATTATATTATATGCCAATGCAAGAGGCAGTTTGTGGTTTAATAATTTTTTTTTTTTTTAGAAATATATTTTCTCAATGCTGAGAGTTTTGCGAAACAATGTCAAACCTTCTTCTTTAATATATATATATATATATTGGCTGGCCCAACAATTTGGAACGCCCTTCCAGTCACTCTCAGAAACAGCCAGACGCTGGAGTCCTTTAAAACCGATCTAAAAACACATCTATTTCACAAACATCTTCTGGGGTGATGCTATCTACCATCTTTTTCCAGTTAATTTACATTGGTTTGTGTTGCTTATGGTTGAAACGGGATGAAAGACTTTGACTTGGTATGCTCGTATGTAGTTTTTTATTGTTGCGTCTATTTTAAATGTGGTAAATTTTCGATGGTTTTTTTTTTAATGTTTTAACTTTGTAGCACGCTTCGACATTTTGGGGATGAAGCGTGTTTTTCAAATAAATTTTATTATATATATATATATAAAACTAGCAGGTTCCAAATACTTTAAATTAAACAAATTCCATCATTAGCCTTTAGAAAAAAATCACAAAGCATTGGAAAAAAAATCATTAAAAAAAAAAATAAATTTTTTTTAAGCATGCTTACTTGGGCCAAAGTTCAATCAAAAACATTAATATATGTAAGAGTGAAGTAAATCCTGAGATGCCGTTAATTGGCTTGGGTATGGACTTTATGTTAAAGAACAACAACTTACAATTAGAAAAACTCCGGCTGGTTCGTCATGTCTTGTATTTTGAGAGCCAAACAGCCCATTAATAAAATGAAAAAAAAAAAAAATGCACAGAAGAAAAAAAAAAAAAAATAAAAAACAATTTAATAAAAAAGTTAATTGGCTTGGGTAGTGACTTTATTTTAAAAAACAACAACTTACAATTAGAAAAACTCCGGCTGGTTCGTCATGTCTTGTATTTTGAGAGCCAAACAGCCCATTAAAAAAATGAAAAAAAAAAAAAATGCACAGAAGAAAAAAAAAACGATTTAAACAACAGTTTCGTAGAAATGTCTATACATTTATGGGTTTTCAAAACTGGTCAATATTAATTTGACTGAAATGGTTATTTGGAATTTCAAACGACAACGACTTATAACTTTCTTCAGATAAATTACAAATTGCCTCTTCCACTTAAGTGAAAACATTTTTTAAACCAAATAGACAGGGGATAGGAAGAGGAACTTTTTCTAAAACTAGTACTAGACTAGTAATATTATAATATTAAATAATATTAGTTTTACCAAAAAAAAAAAAAAAATGGATTTGGCATGATAATTGAAATACTATTTACTATTTCACTTTTGTTCTTTTTCTTTCCATTTAAAAAAAAAATTGCTTTCTATTTGATTCTCATATAAAATTGAATTAATTTTGAATTAATTAGTGTTAGCGTTAATGTTAACTGTTAATATTAACAGACAATAAAGTTTAAGTTAGGGAAGATTGTTTATTATTAATAATAATAATATTATTAATATTATTCTGGTAAAAAATATGGAGAACGCTTTTTTATGAAGGATTTTCTTATGAAACAGTACTAATATTTGTTGTGTTTAAAATAACAATGAATGAAATTAAATAATTGTTTTAAAATAATGATTATTACCAATTATTAATAAGTATATAGTTTTCTAGATGTAAAAAAAAGGAGAAATCTTTGTTTTTATTATTAGTTTCAAGATATATTAAACTTTACAAATAGGAGAGCCCAGATAACATCCGGGTCGTTGTTGTGGAAAACGGCCTAACAACCAAGAAAACTAGCATCTTGACAACGGAGAAGCAACATGCTTTGATAGCCGTGGAAATTCGTCAAAGTTGTCTTCATTTACTTCTCATTTGTCAATTTGCATGATTTAACTCATCAGAATGGTAAGCTATTGCCATTTTTGTTTGATAAGCTGTTAAAGTAAGATTTATATGTAACGCCTGACACTAAAAATGAATTCTTTAACTTTAATTTTAATGATTTGCTTGGCCTCATTTGGTCACTTTGTCTTTCTTTGTCAAAAATACTTAAAACTGGACTTTTTTTTTTAGTCTCAAACAAAAACATTAAGTAAGAATAATTTCTCGGTTGAGTCTCTTTTTGGAGCTTTCTTACAAATAATATTCAACCCTCTTATAATTAATTAAAACTATTTTAAGACTCAAACTGTCTTAGACTTACTTAGGCCTACTTACAAACTTACTAGGTGGGCTAATCAGTAGACCTATATATTTTGTTTCTTTATGTTTATTCCTTAGTGACTTTAGACTTAGCCTGTTTTAGGGTTCGGTCTTAGCGCATATGCCTGAGACTACTAAGACTAAGAGTAAGAAAACTAAATTTACATTGGAAAGAATTGAATGATGATTAGAAAGTTAGTTTAGTTACTAAGACTTAGATCAGAGATAAGAGCAAGAGAAGTATAAGTATAATGTCTAGATTGACTAGAATAGAGAGTAAAATTTAAAAGTTTCTAGGCTACTTAAACTAATTATTTAAGCAGGGCAGGCTCAAGGCGGGTATGATTCGTGATCATCACACAGGCGCCAAGGAGTCCAAACCGCATTGTTGCATTAATTCTGCCTTTTTTGTATTGAATTTGAATAAAAATTTGTTAAATCAAAAAAATATTATTTTTTTCTGAACTGTTCCCGTAATTTTCCAGGGGGCAACAATTGCCTATTTTCACCCAACCTAAAAATGTAAAAACGGAGGCATGCGGTATTAAATTATAGATGCCATTTTATCTGCTTGGTTCATATTATATTTCTCTTATGACGGATGCTCTTGGTAAAATTCTCCCCACTGTAGGCCTCTATAAAATTGTATCATTTATAAGTTTATATGAAAACCAGATTACTCACATGTCAACTTCCATGCCAAACTTGTCGCTGGTTTTCAACGGAAAGAATTTTTTGTTGAAAAAAAAAAATGCTTTAGTAAGTTGCCTTAAGATATAATATGTTTAAATCAGAAAAAAAAAAATTGTGATTGATTATTAAGACGGCTATAAAAGCTTCTGATTTTCAAAAAATTCAAATCAATGAATCTGTGTCTCTTTCTCAGGCTGGAAAAAATATAATAGCTGCATGCAATCAGAAACTAATTTAAATATTAATTTGAGTGGTTCTTTATTCATTATAAATATAATAAAGTTTAAAAATATAAATTGGCGTTAATTTAAAACTTTAAAAAAACATCTCTATTATGAAAGTTTTTGCCGTAAATTTATTTTCTATGATTGGTTTTTAAAGTTCCATAGATTCCTCACACTTCTAATTTAGTTACTATATTTTTTACAAAGGGGACATTCATAAATGACAATAAAATTTTTAAGGCGAATTTAGATCTCTCCCCCCCCCCCCCCCNTATCACAAAATTGTCGTACAAATTAGACACCTTGACAATGCATCATAACCACAGACTCTCACCCTCACCTCCACCCACCTTTTTAAAAAAAAAAGATGATTGACATCAGATAGCGATGGCCCCAAACTGCATCAAAAGCAATAATTTAAGATCACTTTTTCTTTCCTTCCACAGCCTCCTAAAAAGAAAAGTGGGAAGAAGGGTAAGCAGGAAAAGGGTAAGGGTAAGAAGGCATCTTCAACAGGTGTTATTGATGTTGTAGCCCCTGAAGAAATGACACCTCAGCAGGTAGTGTGTGGAACAGTTGATGTTTCAACATTTGCATTTGTTGTTGGTGATTATTTTAAATTTATTTTTAAATTTTTTTTGTGTTGGCTTTTTTGGTTTTGTTAAGCCTTTGAATTTCTTTACTAGGGAAAAAGGGCAAGAAGGGAAAGAAATCAGGAAAGAAGGGAGGAAAGAAGGGAGGACCAACTGTAATAGATGGAATCCCTACAGAAGAAATGTCAAAGGAGCAGGTATAAATCCATTATAGTACCCTATTGTGGCCAAAATGATGCATGAGTACTTTGTATAAAATCATTAGGAACAATCGAATATGTCATAAGGCTAAAATAATCAGCAATTATCTCTTAGTCAAAGTTTAAGTTAAAGCCCATTATCAGTCTTCTGTGTTGTAGTTTTGGAGAAGTCACTGTTATATTTGAGTTGTGAAATCAAATCCATAATTTCTTTTTTATATCCATAAATCCATAATTATTTTTCCAAATAAAAAAAAAAAGTTTTCTTCTTAATGATATTTTTTGTTGTTGAGTTTTCCATTTTTTAAAACATCACCACTTTAATCATACAAATGTAATAAATTGTTAAAACTTAAGAAATAATACTAAATCCTATATTTTTATATATTACATGCTTTAACACATTTTTTACTCTTGCTAAAAACTAAATAAATTGAAGACTGAGTCTTGAAATATTTGCATTATTCTTATTTTAAATTATCTGGGTTTTGCAACACTATGAGAAGAAAGTTTTAGTCAGATAGAAATTATTAATTATAATTAGTGGAATTTTTTTTTCTTATCTGTTCCATAAGTGACAGAATATAGATTAGAATAGCTTAGCCATCAAGACTTTTTAATGCTTTTTGGAGCTTTATAAAGAATTTAAACCAATGCGGGATAAAGAAGCTATTTTGGAACCAAAATTTTTGAGGATGGGATTCTTGTTTTATGTGGAGGGTGATCTAACGCTGATTGATGACTTAACTGTATTTTATTAGCGTATTTTCATCTATACCATATAGCTGACTTTGAGATTAACTGTTGAAAATGAAATTTTAAAATTATATTTAATATATAAATTATTTATAGTTTTTAATTTTATTTTGAAAATATTTTAACTTGTGGTTTGAAAATTTAAATAAAGAAATTTCTTATTTTATTTACCAGCTTGAGGATCATGTACAGAGAATACGAGAGGAACTTGAGCGGGAGAGAGAGGAGAGGAATTACTTTCAACTGGAGCGGGACAAGGTCAACACATTTTGGGAGATCACAAAGAGGCAGTTGGAAGAAAAGAAGGCAGAGCTTCGCAACAAAGATCGAGAGATGGAAGATGCAGAAGAGCGACACCAAATTGAAATAAAGGTGATAATGAATCATTGAAAAACTGTCTAGCTGCTTTCAAACATGGCTTGAGAGGATTAACTTTTAAATCAATATATTTTAATCTATTTAAAGTTGTTGCTATTGTTTGTGGCTTTTTATTATTATTATTATTTAAAGTCTTTTGGGCACCATTTTGTGGGCTTACAACTCAATATTATTATGAGTTCTTCATTTTTACAGTTGTTTTGCCGATTTTAATTTCTTTCTTTATGAAATATCTTGTTTAATTAATTATATTTTATCATTTTCTGTTTTCTAAAAATCTTTGTAAAATAGCTATGTTTAAAAAAACACAAAAAAACTTAAAAGATCAGGTTTAAAAAAAAAACTGTTTTTCTATGTCAGGTGTACAAACAAAAAGTGAAACATTTACTTTACGAGCATCAAAACAATATATCAGAACTTAAAGCTGAGGGCTCAGTGGCCTTAAAACTTGCCCAAGACTCCCATCATTTCAGTGAACTAGATCTGCGCAAGGATAAGAGAGCCTTGAAAGTTGAACTAAAGGAACAGGAGCTTTCGCACGAAGATGTTATCAAGAACTTGAAAAAGGTAGTCTACCCTTGTTGTTTTTTTTAGGATTTAAATTTGTCTTTAACGGTTATTCTATATTTTGAAAAGGAAAACACTTAAACTTAAAAGATTTATAAATTATATTTAATTTTGATTCAAATTAATTGTATGCAGTATCCTTGTAAAAAAATGAGCTGAATTGACTGTGCTAGAGTAAAGTTGTTGTATGTATTTTGAGATAAAATAGTTGTGTTCCTCTGCCAAAGTTGGGACCAAAAGATATAAAAATCTTTTGTATCCCAGTCTGTATGAATTTACCAGCGTGCCCCCCACCCCTCCCAGTGGTTACCAAATCTAAATGATCACTGATTAAGTCATTATTGTCATTAAGAGAGTTCATTGATGGCTGATTTCTACGTTAGAAAAAATACTTTAGATGTCTTGTGTTTAAATTGTTATATTGGTAAAATGTTGTCTTAGTTAAAATATGTATTTATTAATGCGCTGAAAATGAATATGTACAATTTAATAGAAAAACCTTTTCCGTTTATTTGGATCAATAAAAGAATCTTCTCTTATCTAATGCTCTACTGGCATGATGAAATGCCTGCTGGTATATAATCATTTAGAATTCATTAAGGCAGTTATTGAAATTAGCTCTTTGTTATCTCATTATTATTGTTATATCAATATTCCATGTGGCACTCACTCAATCTCCTTTCCATAGTAGCACTCACTTTAATGCACTTTCCATAATGACACTCTCTCTATGTACTTTCCAAAGTAGCACTCAATGAACTTTCCATATTTTTATTATTGAGAATGTTATATTATTTCTCCCAGCAAAACAATGAAGCGGTGACAAGTCTTCGAAACACATTCGAGCGTCAGGCCAAAGAAATTGAGAGCAAGTATGAGAAGAAGATGAGATCCCTGAGAGACGAGCTCGACCTGAGGCGCAAGACAGAGATTCATGAAATTGAAGAGAGGAAGAATGGCCAGATCAACACTCTGATGAAAAACCACGAGAAAGCTTTCAGTGATATCAAGAACTATTACAATGACATCACATTAAACAACCTTGCCCTCATCAACACACTCAAGGTAGGCCAGATCTAGTGATTTAATCTCAGTAATGTGCTCAGCACTTATCTATTACTGTACCAGTCCTTGCACCAGGCCTGTGTTGAAAACACCAATACAGCTCTGGTCATTAATAATTAGTGGCATATTTTTTTTTTTTACTGTTCAGTTCAAAGAGGTGAGCGAGAGAGATTTTCACCATAAAAAAATGAAAGAAAAAAAATAAAATTGCTGGAAACTTCATTTAAAAGCCCGTTGCAATTTTAATTTTTGGGGCCATTTTTGTTTTCAGGAACAAGTTGAAGACATGAAGAAGAAAGAGGAGAGGATGGAGAAACAGATGGCTGAGGTCATAACCGAGAACAAACGTTTGGTTGAGCCTCTACAGAAAGCACGAGAGGAGGTGGAGGATCTGAGGAGGCAGCTGTCCAATTACGAGAAAGATAAGGAAATGCTCAAGGTAGGTCATCGTCATGACTTGGGAAATGCCTCAAGGTAGGTCATCATCATGACTTGGGAAATGCCTCAAGGTAGGTCATCGTCATGACTTGGGAAATGCCTCAAGGTAGGTCATAGTCATGACTTGGGAAATGCCTCAAGGTAGGTCATAGTCATGACTTAGACAATATGTCAATCTTTTTATTTACTCTCCAAACAAGTTTGACACCAAGAAATCAATTGGCACTTAATTTGTCCATGTACTGTTAGCCTGTAACATTCTTAGCTTAGAGAAAGTGTTTGAGCAAGTTAATTTCATTTATCAATGCATTGGTAGGTTGTAACATTCTTAGACCAGAGAAAACATTTCAACAAGTTGATTTAATTTGGCATTGTACTGCTAGCCTGTAACATTCTAAGCCTAGAGAAAGTGTTTCAACAAGTTGACTTAATTTGAGGCGAGTTGTTACAGTTGTGTTTAAATCTTCTTTCTTCCCACTTGTCACACATTTCCCACCAAATAACTTGAGTTGCCCAAAACATTTTTGATCCTGTTCTCAGAGTGCTAAAGCTCGTGTCAAGCAGATGACTGATGAATTTAAAGCTCTCAAATGGGAACATGAAGTCTTGGAACAGAGATTCCAGAAGGTGAGACTGTAGAGGCTGATATTTTTACTTCTTTGTTGCAGCGTTAAATGGAAATTAGGGAGGGAGCGAGAGATGGCTGAAGAAAAGCTGAGGAGGTCAAACTGCGAGGGAGAAAAGTGGGAAAGATAGGAAGAGATTAAGAGAGAGATTAAGAAATTATTTTCAGCTGAATTTCAATTTAAAAAAATTATATTTAAAAGCACACAGTTAAATGTCTGTTACTAGTTGTTGATGACATTGTAGTTTATGTTGTTTGTTGATTTTGCTGTAGTTTTGGCAAGGAGGCATGTGGCAGATAGTTGCCAGATATATTCACATTTGATCTGCAAGTGTAATGTTTTATAGCTTAAACAGCTGTTTCCAGAATGTAGTTGAAAAAGTTGAAATATTTTACTATGTTTGTATCTTACTGCTGAAATTTGGAACCAAATATAGTTTTGGAAACCAAATATAGTTTTTGATACCAAATGTAGTTTTTGATACCAGATGTATTTTTGGATACCAAATGTATTTTTGTATACCAGATGTAGTTTTGGATACCAAATGTAGTTTTGATACCAGACTTAGTTTTGAATACCAGGCGTAATTTTGGATACCAAATGTGGATTTGGATACCAAAAATAGCTCTGTTTGTTTTGTAATATTATTAATCATACTTTACGAGATGCATAACCAAATAACTGTGATCTCACTTTTAACATTAGCAATTTATCCATTGACATGCTCAGATTCAGGGAGAGAGAGATGAGTTGTATGGAAAGTTCATCAAGGCCATCCATGAGGTTCAGCAGAAATCAAACTTCAAGAACCTGCTCCTGGAGAAGAAGCTGTCTGCCCTGGCTGACACCCTGGAGAAGAAAGAGGCCCAACTTAATGAGGTGTTGTCTGCATCTAATCTGGATCCTACGGCTCTCACCGTAGTCACCAGGAAATTAGAGGTAACATTATTTCTGCCTGGTTGTAAATGCCAATTTACTTTTACAGTGAGGTCCAAAAAAAAATTAATTTTAAGGTTTAGATTTATTTATCTTAAATATTTTAAAACTTAAAAGTATAAAATATATTTCTTTGAATTTTTATATTGGTATAATAAAATTAAATATGTACATGTATTTCATATTTTTAGAAACAAATTTCTTTTTAATCATTAAATTAGCAATACAGAAATATGATAAATGTGAGTTCACACTGTGGATTTGTTTCAGCCGCAAAGCTCAGTGGTGAATCCATGTTGGGAATCGGGGACACAGATATCCCTTTGTAGGCTGAGCACTGAGCAGACGCAACTGTGGCATCAGATGCAGAACTTTTGTTTAAATTTATCAATGTTGCATTTATATCTTAGTGCAACGGTCAGCATGCTGCCAGTGCATGTGGCTCTTTACAGGGAATAATGTGGCTTTTTTACAGGGAATAACGTGGCTCTTTACAGGGAATAACGTGGCTCTTTACAGGGAATAGATTTGACTTTTTTCTTTTAAACATGATTTTACCAATAGCGACTCATGCAAGGGAAAATGACAATGAAAAAATTGAAATAAATCTAGAATTCATTCAATTTTTTTAAAGACGTTATTCCTGAAAAATATTTTCTTGTCTGCCCACTCCAATAACAACCAGGCTTGACATTTTTTATCAATCTTCAAACTACAAAATATGGTTACTATAAAATACAACATTTATAAACAAGACAGTTGATATTACATTTTTGTTGTTTTTATGACCACTCCATTTTCTACCGTAACGCAGTGAAAAAAAATAAGACAGGATTGTTTATGCAGCTGACGACAGACTGCAGCACAAAGAAAGAAAAAAAAAACACATAAAAAAAAAAAACATTAGAGAGGGGGGGGGGGGGGGGGGGGGGGCCTGCATTTGTTGCAGCGAGTAGCACGTGGTTACAGGAAGTTGAGAATCCAAGTGACGAATCCGCAGTGTGAACGTAACTTTAGAAAGATTTCTTTTTTAAAAAATTGTCGAAAACCATATTCCTTTTTTTTTTGTTTTCGTTCAAATGTGTTTCCAACTACGTAAGTGTTAGTTTTTTTATGATGTCATACAATCTACAGAAAGGAATTAAAGCTTTAAGTAACACTCTCTTAAAAGCTGTAAGGAATACTCTCTTATAATTTGATGTAAATCAAAACTGAATTTGTTTGTTTGACCTATGACTTAAATCATGGGGAGAAAAAAAACTTGAATTATTGCTTTATTTATAAAAGTGAGTTTTAAGAAATGGTTAAGTCAATGACTTCTGAGATGTTATCTTGTGTTTGTTCATCTAGGATGTGCTCGACTCTAAGAATAGTGCTATCAAAGACCTGCAATATGAACTGGCCAGAGTCTGCAAGGTAAGCATAGGCTGAGGATGCTAAATTTTGATGTTCATCTGTTCACTTGACCCTCCTCATTAAAGGGTTAAGACAACTTACGCAGGAATGCGGAGAGTTAATTTTGAGAGGGTTGCAGATTTTATTTGGTGCTCCTCAAGGGGTCTTTCGCAAATCACGTCACGCTCAGGGGGGCAGAGGTTGTTTTTTTTTCGAGAATTTCTAACACTTGTGATGGGGGGGGGGGGGGTGGGACAAATTTTTTTCCCATTAGGTTTTTTTTTTTTGTTTTTTTTTAATTTTAAATTTTTTTATTTTTTAAAAATTTTTTTTTTATTTTTNTAATGAGAAAATTTTAAAGAATAAAATAAAACCTTAGTTTAGTTATGAAAATTGTATGTATCTTTTGATTTTTTTTGGGTGTGACCTTACAATGGGGGGGGTGGGGGGGGGGTAAAGAATTTGTTACAATTCGTGACGGGGGAGAGGGGGTCTAAAATGGTCAATTTTAGCATGATGTAATTTACAAAAAAGTGTTTGGTGGGTTGGCATGGTCCACACAGTGTTTGGTGGTTGGGATGGTCCACACAGTGTTTGGTGGGTTGGGATGGTCCACACAGTGTTTGGTGGGTTGGGATTGTCCACACAATGTTTAGTGGGTTGGGATGGTCCACACAATGTTTGGTGGGTTGGGATGGTCCATAAAGTGTTTGGTGGGTTGGCATGGTCCACACAGTGTTTGGTGGGTTGGCATGGTCCACACAGTGTTTGGTGGGTTGGGATGGTCCTCAAAGTGTCTTTTCCACAGGAGTGTGCCAATATAAACAAATCAACTAGTTTTCAAAGTATTGCTCCTGAAACTTCACTTCACATGTTAAAACCATTAATTTGTATTATTTCTATGCTAATGGCCAGTGTTACTTTACTTTGATAACAATATCTAGGTTTTTAGATGCTTGTGGCAGTGAACCTAATTCTACTTGATTATTTAAAAATATGTTTGAAAAATATGAACCTTGAAACTTACTGATGAATATTTCAAAAACAAACTAGTTCATTAGAATATCTTCTTACTTAATGGGTGGCTAATCTTTACCTAAGTTTTTTGATAACACTGTTGATTTCTCCCTAGGCACACAATGATCTACTCCGCACGTACGAGTCTAAGCTCAACCAGTTTGGAATACCCACAGAAGAACTCGGATTCAAGCCGCTGGAAAGCACTGTCGGTGGTCAAACTCTCGGTCATGGCCCGGCTGGTTTGGTCTCTGCCCCGACGTGAGGTGTCATTCCCTCATTTGAGAAAAAGTGTCTTTTTGTGAGAAACAGATGTTCAGCATTGACCCCCATAACTTCAGCATGGCTTGGCTCTATCGAAATACCTCATCTGCTTTTTTTTTTTTTTTAAAAGGACAATTACAATCTGAAACATCCCTTTTTTTTTTTAAGCAGTCATAAAAGATCAATCTCTGTTTTTTGGCACAGTTTGCAATTTAAATGAAGTGACCTTTGACATTTTTTGTGTACCGATCGTGCTAAAGTGTTAGCTTAAAAATTTTTTTTTTTTTTTAAAAGGACAATTACAATCTGAACCTTCCCTTTTTTTTTTTTAAGCAGTCATAAAAGATCAATCTCTGTATTGTGGCACAGTTTGCAATTTAAATGAAGTGACCTTTGACATTTTTTGTGTACCGATAGTGCTAAAGTGTTAGCTTAAAAAGGAAAATGGTTTTACAGGTGTTTAGAAATTTGAATGTATTTCATGAAATAGTCTTTATCTGAATTCATCATCATTGTACATGTTTTCAGTTGAGACAGCTTTAAATTGAAATTGAAGCTTGGACTTATTTTAAACTCACTGATGCAAATCTAAACAATTGACACTCAGAAGTGTGGGAATATGGAACAATAGCACTCAATCCACTCACCAGACCACTCCACTCACCAGACCAATCCACTCACCAGAACAATCCACTCACCAGACCAATCCACTCACCAGAACAATCCACTAACCAGAACAATCCACTCACTAGAACAATCCACTCACCAGAACAATCCACTCACCAGAGCAATCCACTCACCAGACCAATCCACTCACCAGATCAATCCACTCATCAGACCAATCCACTCACCAGACCAATCCACTCATCAGACCAATCCACTCACCAGACCAATCCACTCACCAGACCAATCCACTCACCAGACAATCCACTCACCAGATCAATCCACCTGCCAGATTATGTAATCAGTAGTTCCCCATTATTAAAAACTTTGAAAATGGGAAAATGAATTTTCTAGTTTAAAAAAACAACAAAACTGATTTTTGTTTGTGATACCCTTTTAGAAAGGATCATACAAACTGAGTTAACAGGTCTGAGCTACTGCAACACACTGGCAATGACAATAACAAATTTTAAATTAAAAAAAATTAAAAATTAATTGTTGATGTCACTAAATTAAAGAAAATTGTTCTTCCCATAGACTTGATTACAGTATCAGCGAATACGTGTCAAATCATAACATAATATACAATACAATACCACAGGTATACTTGAATATTTGTTGTTTAATTAATTGCCTGGACCACTCTTAACAATACACATGATGACCTTTTCATTGGTTCAAGCGATGCAACAGTAAATAGTAGCCATTTTGAAAAAAAAATTCAATTGTAAGAAACATTTCACATTTTGAAGGAATCGAATGCACTAGCCCACCAACTTGTGTCACCAGGTAAGATCAAGACATTGAACTAACCAGACATTTACGGGGACAAGTTAACTTCTGTCAACACATCCGAGTACATGCCATGCTGCCCGGAGTTTTACACGGGCTTGGTAATATGGGGGTCGTCTGAGCTTAACATTGTCCACGCAGGCAAAAAGACCATCTTTATTCTTCTGCCCATTTTTCTGCAAGTTTTTGACTGAGCATGTGTATGGTAATTCTGTAGGTCATATTGTACAATTGTTACATCTGTATCTTTTTTATGTAAATAAATAAAAAAAAAAATAATACTTAGGATAAGTAAGAGGTAGAGGCACAAGATTAGATGTGTAATTTTATATATAAAGGAGTAAAAAAAAAAGCTCTTTGAATTAAACACTATTTGAAGACTTGGAAAGCAGGGAGGCTGATGTTGCTTGCTTGTATCTATCTTAAACTAATGTATATTATTATTACTGCAGGTATTTTCATCTCATTTGAGTTTTTTCGTTGAATGAATTCTTTAATTAATGTGCCAAGTTTACTTTTAATTTAACGTTTAACTTTGATAGCCTACACCTATGAAGTGGGAAGGCTCATTAGATTTGGATTTTTGGCAAAGCGGGGCCGGGGGGGGGTGTATTATATAAGAAAAGCTTTTTTTTTTTTTTTTAAATATTAAAATTTTATTTAAAATTTGATAAATAAAATGAAATTCTTTTTATGATTGTTGGCCTATGGTGACTCTGTGCATAAATTTGTTATACAACTTATGTTGGGTAGAACATAAGGTGACACCGCTTAAGTATAGCTACATGATGAATTAACGAAATGTTCACCTTCAAAGTCAGATTGGTACCAAGTTTAATCTAATGAGCTATCCACATGGTATGTAAGCAAAAAAGGTCACATTTTCCACCCCTTCCCTTGTTGAATATTTATTTATTCTGGACATTTATAGGATATTTAAGCCTACAGCCTACAGGCCCCACCCACCCCCCTTCCCCTCTTTTCCACTTACTTTATTGGACCTGGCTGTTATACTAGGGTTGTCGGTGTAATCCTTGGGGAAACGCCGGGTATACTAGCTAGTTTATCATGTATATATATATATATATATATTCAAGGATTACAATGAGATGACAACCCTAGCATAACAGCCAAGACCATAAAGTAATTTGAGAGGGTTGAGGGGGGGGGGCGGGGGCGGGCAGAAAAATGCTTTAAACTTTTTCACGATAATCTTTAATAAATGTAAATCGTTTTTGGTACCGGTCCACCAAGGGGCAACACTTAGCACTTCAAAAGGGAGCAGTTACACATTCAAAATTCTATATTTTGAATCGTTAACCAATATATATATTATATATCCCTTGGGTTCTCCAGTGGCGTGGAGAGAGGCGATTTGCTGTTGGGAACCAGCTTATAGTCCTTGAAGAATAATCCCAGGCCATGTAGATTTCGTCCTCAGAAGCCCGCTCCATCGTCACATTGAGACGGACGGATGCCAGCAAAAAAAAAAAAAAAAATTAAAAAAAAAAAAATATATAAAAATAAAAAAAGAAGATACAAAATATTTAAAATTAAAAAAATACAATAATTACCCTTTAAAAAAAATACAAAAACATGTAGATTTCGTCCTCAGAAGCCCGCTCAAACGTCACATTGAGACGGACGGATGCCAACAAAAAAAAAAAAAAAAATTTAAAAAAAATATATATATATAAATATAACTAGCAGGTTCCAAATATTTTAAATTAAACAAATTCCATCATTAGCCTTTAGAAAAAAATCACAAAGTATTGGAAAAAAAAATCATTTGAAAAAAATAAATTTTATGCATGCTTACTTGGGCCAAAGTTCAATCAAAAACATTAATATACTATGTAAAAGTGAAGTAAATCCTGAGATATAGGTCTACATCAAATGTGGGTTATAAACAAGAATGAAGATAAGAGCAAATCGAAAGAAGAAAGAAGTTTATTTGTGATAAATCCGGCGGGCCACAATGTATACATAACATGACGGGCCGCATGTGGGCCGCGGACTGGCCACCCTTGATTTAAGGTATGGAGGCTCTCCATTTCACAGCGATTTGATATAGGATTGTATCCGCCCATGTCTCGAAAATGAGATTGAACCCCGACGCCGTCAAGTCCCGGACGTAGTAGTTGAATCTCAAGTTCCTGCGATAGTCCGCGTCAATGTACTGTAAATGACACATGACGGTCGGCAGCTTGGAGAATCTTTTGGTGAATTTGACGTAAACCATGCCCCGCTTTGAGCTTGAACTTCCGGTACGTTGAAAATCAGCCGAGCCCCCCAAGAATCTCAAGCCCTCCTCAACGACGTAGCTGTAAAGTGAATTCTGTACTGTCGTCAGGTCGGTACGAAGGCTGGACGCCCCCGTCTCCAATCTTCGCAGAGCAGCGGTGGTAGCCGCGTCCTGGGCGTTCGAGATGTCGACCTGTCGCTGAAGGTCAGATTGTGAATTATTTAATGAAATGCGGACGTCCCTTATCTCGGCGTTCGAGCTTCTCTCGCATTCTTTTACTGCACGTTGGGTCTGTGAGAGCGCGTCCTCCAACTCATGGATGTACTGGATGATGTCCTTACTATCTGGACGTTTGTGGTAAATGTGGATGTGGGATTTGTAAAGGACGTCCTGGCCAGAATGGCCCGTCGCATTGATGCGGCATGTGTACATCCCGGTCTGGTTTAACCCTGGCTTGGTCCACGTCAACTGCAGATAGCTGGAGTCCACGCTTGGAGTTAAATCACCACGGACCCTGAGAGTGTCCACGTCTGCTGATGCAACGGCCGGGTGCTGGGATGAAATCGATGCTATTGTAGTCGAGCTATCTTTAAAAAAAACAACAGATTAAATTTTTTATTTATTATATGGAATATTTATGACTAAGGTTTCTGAAAGAATTTTAGCACAATTAAATATATCAGCTGTTCTCAACCTGTGGGTCTCGAAAACCTGTTTGGGGGGTCGAACGACCCTTACACAGGGGTCGCCTAAGACCTTCGGAAAACACATATTTATGAGGTAGCAACGAAAATAATTTTATGGTTGGGGGTCACCACACCATGAGGAACTGTATGAAAGGGTCGCAGCAATATATATATATATATGTTGGTTTTAGGTTTTAATTACTACGACTATGAAGTTTTGATATAAAATACATTTAAAAACCTGCATACAGGTAGACACCAGATCTTGAGTTACGAGCAAGGACAGAAACGCAGACGTGATTGCTTAAAAAATTGCGTTACAGTTGAGCATTCAATGAACAACGGATAGTTTAAAAGCTAAAATCATATCAAAGACAAGTCAAGATAACGTGCTCACGTAGGCAGTCTGAGTAGTATCACATAAGACAAGTCAAGACAACGTGCTCTCGTAGGCTGGTTGAGTAGTATCACATGAGACAAGTCAAGACAACGTGCTCACGTAGGCAGGTTGAGTAGTATCACATGAGACAAGTCAAGACAACGTGCTCACGTAGGCAGGTTGAGTAGTATCACATGAGACAAGTCAAGATAACGTGCTCACGTAGGCAGGTTGAGTAGTATCACATGAGACAAGTCAAGATAACGTGCTCACGTAGGCAGGTTGAGTAGTATCACATAAGACAAGTCAAGATAACGTGCTCACGTAGGCAGGTTGAGTAGTATCACATAAGACAAGTCAAGATAACGTGCTCACGTAGGCAGGTTGAGTAGTATCACAATCACATACAAATTGAACTGAGATCACACTAAAGGCAAGTCGCAATAACGTGGTCACATGACAGTGAGCTTGTGTATCACATTATAAACATATTATATCACCTCGTGTAATGGAGATTGAGTTTACAGTAGCTCTAAACGGTTCAGCCCAGCCTTGTTGTACCGTGTCATTCCTAGCGGGGACATTCTGCAAACAACGTGAGATAATTTGTATACAACACCAGGAATCAATGTTTTTATTTTTCCTTTCCAGCGATCACTTTAGGATATAGTCGGTAAAGTGAAACGATTAATTACTAGTCATATATGATAATTTATCAGTGAACGAGTGCTTTACAACTTCGTTTCAATAATGAAAATTGTGTCAAGGCTAGGATTGCTTTTTCAACGCAAGGTTACTGTTGCTTTGACCCACAAAAAAATTACACCAAATAAAAATAATTTAAAAACGCAGTTAAGTCTTGTCTTCATTCAGACATTATGTTTATGAACTAATTACTATAACACTTTAATGGGAACATAATGAGATGATATATGTGCTGATACATTTATAGGGCAATTCTGGTGTAAATTTATTCAATATTTGATGTCATTAAAATAATAAAGTATAGAATTTAGTTCGCAGACGTATTTTGTTTTGTTTGTATTTTAGTTTAATTTTTTTTTATTGTTTGCTTGTGTGTGTGTGTGTGTGTGTGTGTGTGTGTGTGTGTGTGTGTGTAAACTTGAAAGTTAAATGATAAAACTGAAAATGTTGATCTACCTGCAGTGAACATCTCATCACCAATATCTTTGTGATTCCAACTGTGACGGAGGTTGGATCAGCTGTCAGGGCTATTTTAGATGCTGAAAAAAATATTGTTCATATTTATATTTATATCACCGAATTTGACGCGCTTTATAAACAAATTAAAAAAAGAACAACAACACATAATTTGTTAATTGACTAGTTCGTACTAAGTGTTTATGAAAAAAAATAGGTCATCTTCGATCACTCACACCAATACATCAATTTATGTTGGGGTGTATTTGAAGAATGAAAGAGAGCATTGTACTATACAGAAATTCTTGGGTCATTGCTCACCATGCCTTGATTAGCAAGTGGAAAGGAGTGACTACCCCCTTGTTGGAGTGATTTAGATGATCTCTAGCAGTGTTTGACGGGATTCACCAAGCGTGACCCCCCCCCCCCTTCTCCTCCCTTGGGATGGGGAATTTGTTTCACCCACCGTAAGAGATAACCTTACAAATGAGACAGTTATAAGAACAAAAAAACAAAAAACGCTTAATTAAAAAAACTAATTTACATTAAGACAACATTATAAATGGGTCATTGCTCACCATGCCTTGAATAGCAAGTGGAAAGGAGTGACCACCCCCTTGTTGGAGTGATTTAGATGATCTCTAGCAGTGTTTGACGGGATTCACCAAGCGTGACCCCCCCCCCCCTTCTCCTCCCTTGGGATGGGGAATTTGTTTCACCCACCGTGAGAGATAACCTTACAAATGAGACAGTTATAAGAAGAAAAAAACAAAAAACGCTTAATTGAAAAATCTAATTTACATTAAGACAACATTTTAAGGAAACGTTTCGTGGGCTAAATGGATTTATTTCCAAGCTAATGAAGTTAGTGTGTAAACAATTTTGTGTCTATATGTGTTTAATGTGTTGACGAAGAGGTGAACATCAAGATCGCAAACGCAGCAACAACTACGGCTGAATTGAATAAGTGAGTGTGTGTAATAATCCTAAACTCACCGAAAGTTCAAAACTAAGCATCTACCAGACACGCGTGTTTAGTGTGCTCCACTAGCGCAGTGAGCTGTGGACCACACATAGGACAGTCATGAGTGGAAATGGAAACTGAACAGCTTCCATCAAAGATTTCTGCGTTGCGTCTTGCGCAGTCGATGGCGGGACAAGGTGCCTAACACAGACGACTTGGAACGTGCCAAAAATGTGTAGCATATTCTCCGCCGTTAGCAAGAAGCGGCTTCAAGGGTGGGGCCATAGAAGGAGAACGGAGGAAGGCCGTATTCCAAAGGTTCTGCTGTATGGCGAGTTGACAGAAGGGGCAAGACTAACTGGACGGCCGGGATTTAAGGACGTTTTCAAAAGGAGCACGAGGGAAACCAACACAGAAATCAACCAATAAAAGGACAGCTTCTCTGAGCACCGTTCCGGCTGGCAAACAGCAGTGTATGGAGTCCAGAAGGCAGGAGATGCGCGAAACGAAGCCCTTGCAACAAAAGGAACAGCACGGACGTCCAAATCTAACCAGGAGTCGAGGGTCTCTTGCGAGAAATGCAGCCGAGAACGTCATTCCAGGATCGGGCTAGTCAGGCATTTGATGAAGTGTGCATAGGTACTCCAAAATATCGCGAGAACGCAAGGATTAGGACGTACAGGCCACCGGCCTACTCACGGCATAATATATCCTTTTTCATCTTTGCTTGCAAATAACGACCAACATATATATATATATATATATATATATATATTATATATATATATATATATATATAATTACTTATGACAAAATAAATAGACTTAAAATTAATCATTAAAGTTAATAATAAATTAACCACGCCTACTAACCGTGCCCTAGATATAACTGTTTGCTGAAGACAGTCACGAAAAACCAGCAGTAACAAATTAACGCTGAACCAAACGTCATCATTAGCATACGATTATTTTCGTGTAAAAGAAACAACACCCAGCAACCCGTCTAATCTGTAACGCTTCAAGTCACCTAATGTGACTTCTTGAGCTATTCACAGAGTTTCTAAATGCAAGAAATATTTTCTAAGCCAGAAGCGTTTGCAAATGTTAAGAACAGTTGTTGCAATGCAGTCAGTGATGCCGTCCGTCTAGAGCCTATGTGTTCCTGTAAGGCGAAGACACCAATTAGTCTTTACATCAAGTCGGGTGTCAATTTTTGTTGGCGGCACGGAGAGGATGGATTTTCAGAGACTTATATTCCAATTTTTGGTCGTGATTAAAAAAAAAAAAAAAAGCTGACAAAATAACTTTTACGTCGAAGTAACAATCCCACTCGAACATCTGTTGTATAAAGTAACATGGTCCCTTTTATGTTGTGTTGAAGTATCATGTAAGCTAATAAAATATGTGGCAGCAAAACTCATCAAAGGACGCTGTCTAATGATCCCTATAATTGTTTTGGTTTATGGATAGCTTAGAAGTGATACTTTTTTTTCTTTATTATGATTTTGCACATTGTTTAAACAAATTGCTTTACGACTTTGCAGAATGTGACCTGGTCTAGTCTGAGGCATCACGCGTGTGTCCCGATGCATTGTTTTTCGACTTATTGTTTTATTTAGACAATGACTGCGTATAAGACTGACGTGGTGAACCGATTAAACATGTTTGTTAAGTTTCGTTTCGTGAAAGAGAAGCAGAATGTAAATTAATTTAAAACACTACCATATGGTTGGTTGGTTCACGTGAGTGTCATTTCACTTTAGTGCTACTCACGTTTAGGGGTTGGATGTTGCGTAACTGGATTTGCGTGACTGGGTGGCCAAATGGTCTAAACTGAGCAAACCTCAAGTTGGTGGTCTGGTGTTCAAGTCCAGCCAAAGGCCAGTCAAGCAAAAACATCACCCCAGGTGGATGAGACTCGTTAACCTTGGTCGGAAACTCATCTAAGAGAAGGAAAGTCTGAATTCAAACCCGGAGTTGGAGTCCCGTAAGGCGCAAACAATGACAACTCCTGCAACCTAACCCATCATTGGTCGTCTTGACGTAGAGTCTTGCCACTGGATATGGTGGGCTCGGACGAGAGAGTGAGGTAGACGCCGCGCAACTCTTCCTCACTTTAAACAAAAGTCACCCGCGTAAGTCATAGGTCACCAGACGACTCGATGGTCCTCGTCGATCCTCGACGGACGAACAAAATATATATATATCTGGATTTGTATACTTACGTTAGTATATCAACCCCCTTCCCCCCCCCCCCGCCCCCCACACACATTTTTTAAACCTCAAATTGTAGCGGCATGCATGCATCTGTGCAAATTTTTTTTTTTTAGTAAACCCGAACTACTCAAGAAGCCTTAAAATTTCATTTGTTTCTATGTAATATAAAAAATGACTCTCTGCCTTATAAGCTAAAAGCCGCGTTGACTGAAGACAGCCATCTTTGGTGTTTAAAAAAAAATAAAATAAAAATGAAACACTAAGCGGCAGTTCACACGATCAAATTTTCGATCAAGCATTTGATCCGATTTGTGTACGAAGCCTTGTCACAGCTTTGAAATTACTATTTGATCAAATTCACATTTTTTTTCCTAAAAAAAAGAAACCACGAGCAAAAAAAACAATGTGTTCATACACAAATGTCACGCGACATTTGAAGCTAATTTCATCGTGTGAACTGCGCTTAAATGACAACGTGTCAGACTGTTAATTAATGAATAAAGCTTAAACAATTTACCAACTCGCTCTTTCTTAGCTGGTCTCTATATGGTCGCAATGGTCACTTTGAGCCTTTTATTAAATATTTATTTGCTAATAGATTATTATTTTTAAAAAAGTAAAGTTAAGCCGGCTTCTAATTTTCAAGTATGTTCAAGTGAACCTACGCCAAAGACAATCCCACTACATACAACTAACCGGGGTCCAGTTGCGAAATTATTACAAAAGCTTAAAATATATTTAAAAAAGAAAAACATAAACTTTGAGAACCATTGCTTTAACTTTAAGATCATCTCCGATACGTGGAAAGTCAAATATTTTCGGCGAGAGTGCCCGTAGGCGAAATTTCACGGCGGCGAAACCGAGGCGTGTGGAATCGTGCTAGATGCGTTGATGAATGTTTCCACGTAAGAACGAAAGTTCACATGGTTTTTTGTCATTATTTAAAGGACCACTTGACACTGTATACAAATGGGGGGCATTAATGATACGACAGCTGGGGTCAACATGAAAGAGAGGCATCTATACTGTACAGCAGATGGTTCCCATACTGTACAGCAGATGGTTCCCATACTGTACAGCAGATGGTTCCCATACTGTACAGCAGATGGTTCCCATACTGTACAGCAGATGGTTCCCATACTGTACAGCAGATGGCTCCCCTAAAGAAAAAGGGAAATGGGGAATAAGCATGCATCATTTTTTTTTTGGGGGGGGGGGGGGATTGGGATAAACTTAGGTTATCTATTCTCGATATCCGCTAGAAAGTTAACAGACTACTTGACTAATTTGCTTTCATATCACATACATCAATGCTTAAATACGATGAAATTGTTACCAGTACCGCACCATACGATTAAATTTGATAAGAACACAAATTAACGTCACTTCAATGCTATTGACTGTGGGGGCGGGTCGGGGGGGGGGATCGGAAATTTTCGCTGATTCCATTTGGCTGGGATCTGTTTACCCTACACCACACCCTTCCGGATACGACTGATCGTCAGCTTCCACGCATTACATCTGCGCACCTCCCCAATCCACACACAAGTTAGAAGGTAACTCCTTTCCTCTCAAACTTGCACTAACCCCGCCCCACTACACAACACTACCCTGACCAAAAGGTCAATGCACTTTGTTCAATCAAGCCATACTGTGGAAGATCACTCAAAGATTCATCAATGATTCAACCATTCGACCATCCATTCATCCATCCGTTCATCCACACATGTAAACTTTTGGGGAAAAAAAGATAACAGAAAATTAAAATAAATAAAGACCTTAGTGATTATCCAAAAAGTAGCTTAAAAAAATATAAAAAATATTCTATGCTTAAGGGCAGGTAATATTATTAAATGGATATGCTAAATATTATGACACGCAGGTACTAAATCTTTTGATGTGCATGCACTAAATTTTATGCCCTTTGAGTGTTAGTGTCACTTTAATTCTTTTTCTAGTTGGACAGAATGTGTTTAAAAAAAAGTAAAAACAGCAAACAATGTTATTTATGGAACAAAAAAAAAGCAGCAAACAAACAAACTTGAAGATCACAAAATAAAAAGGGTGAACACTTCTTTTTTGTATTTTTAATTAATTTTATTGGTTGAAGCACATCTGAAATGATGCCAAACTTGGTTTCAGTGCTCTAGCATTAAAAAAAAAAAAATAATAATTACAATTGCAACATTTTAAAAATCACAGTTCCATTGATTGTTTATTAAAAATAGCAAAAATAAAGATACATGTACCTTAATATATTGGACTGAAAAATGTGCCGCCACCCCCCCCATTATTTTTAACAAACACCCTCTTCCTCGTGCCCTTACTTTTAATACATAGTTTTCATCTTGGCAAAGAAAACCAACATTCGCGATCAATATCATTGACAGACCATTGATAAAAAGCATAACATTTTAACTCCGAAGTTACAAATCAAAACAAATAAATAAGTTTAAAAAGAACTGAAATAATTCCGACCGTGTCATTGTAAAATAATTCACTTTTTTTAACTAAATCTTCTATAAAAATAATTTCACTTTAAAATAGCAGCGTCATATTAAATTGTTTGGTTTTATTTCAGTTACTGAGAATTGATGGCTTGCAATGCAACACACATGTTTAGGCGTGTGGGTGAATGTCTGCCTTAATCACCCAGTAGTTATGACGTAATCAAACGGGTTACTCTCGAATGACTTGATGAAAAGTTTAAAATTGTAGAAGTTGGAAATCCCATGACACGAAATGATTGGAGATGGTCACCTCTTAATTCGTCTGATTACCATTAATATCTTCTATAGACCAATCACAACTTCAAAAATTGTGCAGCAAGCTGTAATTTTTTAATCAAATGTAATAGTGTAAAGGAATCCATATATTCTAATCAATCCTATTTCTCTAGTTAAAATAGGGTACCAAACAATAATGTGTAATTTTTTTTTTTAATGATTCATTTGTGTGGAACTTTAATTATTATTTCAAAACAAAAATAAAATAAATAATTGACTTGGCTCACTTTAAACCGGAGCCATTGCTGCAGATAAGCTGACTGAATGTCTTGGCGAATTTTGAGCTCATCGTGACGTAAATGATTAAATTCGTGGACGTGTAAATATGAAAGCATGTATCAAATATCATTCTTTTGTAATTGTAAGACAGGTCATAGTCAAAGAAGAAGCCAAAAGACAGAATGATGCGAGGAGAGAAAGACAGAAATGTCACACAACACACAATAAGTAACATCTTGTACAGCTTCAGCTCCTTTTGTCTCTTGGATGAACAGGTCACCGTCTTCTGAGCACGTAGATTAACAGAAGATAAATGCAGGGATACTCCAATGGCCACGTTGCTGAACAGAATGATTAACACGGGCAGAAAGTATAAAAACACAGTGTTTAGAATGAACAGAAAATAAACTTGTCTCGCCACCATCTCCTCGTCCCAAGTCGTGATCACGTCTGCGTTGACCAAAAAGTAGTTAGGCAGCAAAAAAGCGATGGTGTACAGTACGATGAAAGCAATGATGCACTTGACGTTGAAAGGTGTGAAAATTCTAGCAACAATAAAAGGAAATATAACGGCCACGAGTCTTTCAATAGCGATGAGAGCCACTTGGAAAATGCCAATGATTAGGGCGATGTTGTGCAGAGGTCCGTAACCTTTTAAGTAGATTTCTTCAAAATGTTGACCCAATTGCAGATTGATT